TATGTTTTCTGTCTACATTTTTGCCAAAACCTGACTGAGATCTCTCAACGGGTAAAGCAATTGTTGAATAGGCCTTAATGAGTGTCATCTCTGAAACCTATGCAAAGGTGGAAGGAGGAAACAGACTCCTAGAAGTCATCCTTTGGCTTCCATACACGTGTTGTATCTGAAATGCCCTCCATAACACACATGTGCACATGCACCCCCCCACACACACACATACACACAATTGAAGAAAACCAATGTCCTATGTCACCTATTGTCTGGAATCTTAAAACAAGACTTGGATCTATATTCTGTACATTCATGAGTGTGTGTGTTTAAAGGTGTATGTGTGTAGGACAGTGAGTGTGGGTGAACTCAGAATGTTTGTGAGTATGTATGTGAGGGTGACATGCCACTTTGAGTGAGTTTGAATTTGTTGGAGTGCATATGTAGGTATGAGTGCAAAGCAGTGAACATAAGTGTGACTTTGAGTGTACTGGCTACTTACTGTGAGAGTGTGGCTGTGTGATTTTAAGAGTGTTTGAGTATATGATGCAATATGTGGGTATTTGTAGGTGTGTATGTTTAAGTGGTTCAGTAAGATCCACTGATATTTCATCTTGATCCAAATAATAGTATCATCTCTTTTTATACCAAAATTTTAGTGCACATTTCCTTTCTTTTAATCCTACTGACATTTATTTTATTTTGTCAGTGATGCAAGGCAAGAATCTAGTATGACCCTTGCTTAGAAGTCACAAGAGTACATTCATTAAATATTCTATTTTAATTACTGAATTACCAACTGATATTTTATAAATACATGTTTAAATCTGCCATATACATTTACATGCACTCAGCATGTGCTTTAAGTTAACCTAAGTGAGTTGTTGTGCTGAGTTTATTTGCCTCATTAAATTTCTTAGGAAAAGAAGGATCATCCTGAATAAGTACTTGCCAAAGATTCTGCTGAATTAAATGACTGAGCTGAGAATATAATTCACATGGCAGAGTTCTGACTGACATGTTTGCTACTCCATTAATCTCTGGGCTCTACTCCCCTAATCTGGTTGATTAAGTAGTTTCTTCCTTAATGTGCAACTGCTTAAAAATGTGATTAGCCCTTGAAGTCAAATAACATTCTTTTCTTGGTCAAAGAAATTAATTTTCAAGATTTATTATATGTTTTCTATGTTATGGCATGTTTTCCTCAGCTCCTCATTTACCATACTCATTATATAATATCCATTCATTAAATGCCATAGAATTACCTTGTAACTGAATCTTTTTGTCATTTGGCTAACCCAGCTTCTAATATGGTCATGGCTGTTGCTTTCAAATTAATTTCTTTAATGGCAATGAGAAGTGAATGATTGTCTTCCAAACTCATTTTTGAAGCAAAGGCTTATTAACCTCACTTGGGAAGTTGCATCCCAAATCGTGGTGTGCAGACAGGACCTGTACATTAATTTTTGTTAGCATTAACTTGTTTTAACCTTACTGAGTTTTAGACAACCCTGAAACAGATCAGTCACATATAAGGAAATACAGCATTTCAAGAGTTGTATCAGAACAATAGAACTTTTGAAGATCATTTTCCTGAATGATTTATTTATTTTGTATTGTCTCTCTTCACTTTCATTCTTGTGAGGCTGATGATCTTTTCTTGTTAACATATTTGAAATTCAATGTGACAGATTAAGGAAGCCACATCTACATGACCCAAGACATTGGAGTGGGGATTCAAACTCATATTCCTAACTGAACAATATGTTTTGTTCTCACTTGACTGTAATCCCAGGTCATGGGCTTGCAGTTATTACTTCTCACCAAAATATAGCTGAAGTACTAATGTGTATAAAAAAGAAAATGAAGTTTGGAGCCCAGTTCATTAAGCCTCTGGTTGCTTTCTCTTGTACAGTATGCTGGGGCTAAAGCAAATTACTTCTGGTTTGAGATAGGATCATTTTTCAACAGCTGTTAGAGTTTTATTTTTCTACCTCCCTATGCTCCAGTGTAATAAATGAGTTAGATTAGAAAAATGAGACCACTGGAGAAAAACACACAGATCTATTTCTGACATTATCTCTAAAGAACAATTGTTTTACCTCTATACACACTATCAAAGTGAACATGCAAACAAATAATGAGTCTGATCATGAATATCAGTCTAGATAAAATCTAAAATGTGAATAGTGCTGAAAAGCAACCAAAGCAGGGACTCTTAAAAATTGCTAGGGAATTCAGGGGAAGGGAAGTAATGAGAAATCCCACCTGCAGTAGGATCAGAGAGAAATGGCTCCAAGGAAGCATGAGAATCTCTTCCAGTATGTTAATGGCTGTCATATGGATAAGAAAATAAAATGCACCATGTCATTCCACAAATCTTATGTGAGGCAATATAGAGATAGTGTAGGAAGCTACTGTTGATCAAACTGTTTTCTTTATCCTTATTATGTTTGAGTAACTTATTTAAGCTTATGCTGAGTAGTGATATATATATATATATGCATTCATATATACATACCTGCATACACACACACACACACACACACACACACACACACACACACACAAATACATCTATTTGGGACATACAAGTGCACATATTATTGTAGAGTATTTTCCCCAGTGTTATGCTTTTTTTCACAATATTTAGTCATAAATAAAGTATATGTAAAATGTTAGACATTCTATGGAATCTATGGAAAATCAGCTATAGACCTTTCATGAACTGATTCAAATATTAAATAATGATATACAAAAAGAAAAGTCTTGGATAACTCAAAGTGATGGGTCACATAGAGAGAAATATGATGAAAATGGTTTTAGTTCTTAGTTTTACTTCTTAGTCTTTTGCTTATTTTTATGACTAGAAAAATGTTTTGGTGGGGCTGGAGAGATGGCTCAGAGCTTCAGAGCACTGACTGCTCTTCCAGAGGTCCTGAGTTCAATTCCCAGGAACCACATGATGGCTCACAACCATCCATTATAAGATCAGGTGTCCTCTTCTGGTGTGCAGATATACATGCAGATACAAATAAACAAAATCTTTAAAAAATGTTTGGTAATTTCCTTTAGTTCATAGACATCTCAAGGAATAAAGCACAGTTCATGGTGTGTGAAGTTCTCAAATTTTACAGATCACAAATCTGTGGCTCCTTTTGTATTTGAAGTTAGTATTGACATGTTCAAGTTTTTAATCTTTATTGTATTCCTATCCAGGCTTCATTTTTTATACAAATAGATTCAAGTAATTATTTCTTATTCCTCTCTAGTCAATAATTTTATTTTCAAAACAAAGTTGGAACAAGATAAAGCAAGACATTTTATTGATAATTGCTTTTGTAATTCCAACTTGGTTATGCTACTAGCAAACTGCTATTCAAGTGGCAATCGGACTATGTCTCTATTGAGATGGAGCCCACAAATAGCTGATTTCCATCATTTATGCCATTTGGTACACAAACAGTTTACTGTTTTATTATGGACCATGAGACCACCAGCAATTTTGAAAGTAAGAACATGAGCACTGTAAATTGGACTAATGGAAACTTACAGAGCCAGTGAGCTTCAATGGACTTCTCATTGGGAATAATCCCAGAGAATATGAGTACAGAACGTGAGAAGTTGACTATGTTGGTTCGAATGAGAATGGCCTCCAAGGTATCAGACCTTTGAATACTTGGTCCCCAGTTGACAGACCTGTTTGGGAGGATTAGGATATGTACCCTCTATAGAAGTATCTCACTGAGGACTGGCTTTGAGGTTTCAAAATATTCATGCTCCTGTTCAAGATTTGAGTTCTCAGCTATTCCTACTGTCATGCCTTTGCTCCTCAGTGATGGACTCTAGCCTTCTGGATGTAGAACATGCTTTTATGAGTTGCCTTGGTCACAGTGTTTTCTCACATCAATAAAAGTAAGTTGACCAATGAAAGAACCTTTCAATGTTGACATTGAAAGTGTTTGACATTGAGGTATTTTGGGTGCAGACTAGAACCTGTGGATCAGCTGGAAAGATTTCCAACTTCTTGTGTGGAAGGTTAAAAACACAATATCAGCAAAAATTGTTACAGAAATAGAGATATGTTCAAAAAGAGAAATTTACATTCAAGGGTAGAAGTAGTCTAGAAAGCTGGGCATATGAAAAAAAAAAAAAAAAAAAAAAAAAAAAAAAAAAAAAAAAAAACGGCACCATGAAGCTTATGACTCTTTATAGGCCATTCACATAGCACCTACCTTATCTTTTTTATTTAAATTCTTTAATTACTACTCATATTTACATATCCACTGCCCCATTCCCTAGCCCTCCAATCTTCCCAAATTCCCCACCAACCCCCTACCAACCCATCCCTCAACTCATGCCCTGGGATAGTGAGGCCCTCCGCCAGGGACCTTCAAAGTCTGTCATATCATTTCACCTGCCTTATCTTGTGTTTATATGCTTCTGGCTTTTTCACATTTGTTTATTCCATGAAACCCAGGTAAGAAATGGTTCCTAGTCTTTGCTCAGACAGCTGCCTTCCTTCATGTGTTACCTTCTTACCTCTTTCCACATAGCCTGATGTTCATACTACAGAAAGAGGCAATTACTTCCCATCATCTCCAATGTAGTCTTTAGAAATCTAGAGTATAAGAAAGAAACAACTCTGAATTCATAAAGATTTAACTTCGGCTCTTTGATATAATTTGTCTATCCCACTTGTCTTTAAACTTCTCATCTATAGAAAAGGAAAATTCTAATTTTGTTCTTTTTTGAGGATTATTAAAGTATCACTATATAAATTTTGGCTCAGTAATTAATATTAGTTCTCACTAGCCATGGGTTATGACTGATGTGACCATTTACAATGCCTGTAATTACATGAAGGCCTTAGAGTTTTCAAATCTCTTTAACAAATAAATCTATTTTATTAAGGTATTTTATTAAGGTTCACCACAGCATTGGTGGACCATTTTTTCTGCATAGTTTTCTGAGAAAATCCCTCTGAAATAAGTTTATATCCATCATAATATTCTTTACCACAGTATTATTATTATCATTAATGCTGATTCAGAAATAAAGATACTGAGATTTAGATAGATTAAGTGGACAGAGTGTACTAGCGACTAGCAAGCCAGCCTGTTGAATCTCTTTCTGGAATCAGAGCCTCAGTTTATGAGAAACTAAAGCAACCACTACTACTGAGAAACCAGAGCAAATTAAAACAGAACTTGCTTCTCACATAGATGATGTTGAGTTTCTGGGCCACTGATGTTACTTGAGTACTTCTTTCTACACATGGTGGAGGTTTAAAAGAATAACAATGAGTTCATAGCATATGATGATATTTTAGAATCTGAAGATTTTCTTTATCATGGTGTCCAATAACTTTGCAGCACCATGTCAGTAGTTACTTTCCTATTGCTATGACAAACAGTGTGTTGAAAAGCAATTCATAAGAAAGTTTATTTTGACTGACAGCTCCTCGGGAATAAGGATCCTCGATGGTGGTACAAACACAGCAGAAGGTGGCCAGATCATGGAGATGAGAGAGCACATCTTCAACTGCAAATATAAAGCAGGGTGAGTGAATTGGATTTGGAACAAAGCTATCAAATCTCAAAGTCCTTCCCCCAATGTTATATTTCTTCCAGAAAGACTCTGACCTTACAGATACCATAACTATCCCAATAAGTACCACCCATTGGGGACCAAATAGTCCAATGCTTCATCCATTTCTCAATCAAACTACCACAAGCATCAGCCTATCCTTTATCATGTGTGGAGACCAATGCATGTTGACACAAACTAGCTTTGGTATAACTAAATACAGTGGAAATACTCGTTTACAGTTAGTTAATAAAATTAAAATATGCAATTACAAATATTCTGGTCTTGTTGAAGTATTCTTCTCTACTAAGAGAGATTATTTTCAGCATGCAAAATGACTTTGAATAAAGAATGCACTTATTTTAAATTTTAATTATTAAGTTTGCAATTCACTGAACTGCAATTTATTGAGTTTTCATATACAAGTGAAAATTGTTGGTTCATTAAAAGGCCTATTTCATAAATGATACTATTATAAAATGCATGTTTAATATTGATTATAATTATATATTTATTTTACTTTTGTTTGCTTAGTTTATATGAGTTTTGTAGCTATTCTTACTGCTACCCTTATTATAATTTTAATGAATGTTCTGATACATTAATATTTGATAGATGTAAAAATAGTTCCTACTTTAAATTTTTAGCACTTCTATTGCTTTTCTGCAGTGCCAGTTTGTTCCCAGGGAACCATCTCTAAGGTTGTCATGGATTGGAAGTTTCTGTGGAGTGCTTTACTGATCAACATCTTCAGAGGAATGAAGACAAATCTGGCAGAAAGTGATTCTGAGGTAAAGAAACAAGAATCAAACTATGTGACAATCTGGAGTTATGTGAACCGGGTACTACTTTTCAGAATGGTGGTATGACCATCTTCATGTTTCTCCACTGAACCTCCCCTTTATGTGGGAAACCCTGCTTATCTGAGTGTAGTTACTTCAATGGGCAAGAGGCCTTTACTAATTTTCCTGAGAGATAGCTCTCGCTGAGGCTCTGCCCAAGGAACACCACACAGCACCAGGTGGGCTATAGTTGGTGATAGTGTTAGGTGGGAACAGCACAGACAGGTTTTATTCTTAAGGTACAATAACAGGATAGAGATTCTGTCACACAGACAGAAAAATGCATTTGGTGGAAAGGTTCCCATTATCATTTAAAGGAAGGAGACTTGACCACATTTCACCTATGAAGAAATATTTAGGCATATCTTATTATTGTTTGATTAGATAGTGACTGGGTTGGTTACCTGTATGTAGTAATCCTAATGAAAGCATGTCTATATTCTTGATCATTAACTTCCAACATTTTATGAACACTAATTATTGTGTAATTATTCATTGAATCTTTTCAGGGTCCAGTTCTGATATGATTCATATTCCTTTTAATCTTCCTCATTTAGGTAATAACTTATATAGTTGGATTTGGAAATAGTTAACAATCTCATCCACTAAGTCATATTACCAGTTTTCTGACACATTAAAACTGTAAATATTTTTCTTTCTCTTCATCTCCACTTTCTTTATATTAGACTTGGCATCAACCCCTGAGACAAAGATCAATCCTGAAGTATTGAACATTACAAAGAAATAAGAGAAAAAGTCTAAACTCTTGCTCCAACTTTGTCTCCAATTAACTCTAACCCCTTTACTGTAACTCATTTGAAAAATTATGGAGAAAATGGATTTATTTGTCCATTTATACCATGGTTAATTCTATAGGTCAACTTGATGGCCACATGATGTGCCCAGAGAGATGCTCATTATCTTGGGAATTTAAAGCAGATTTTTTTTAAAAACTTGACATTTAAATCAATAGACATATTTTCATACTTCATGTGAATGGAACTCACCCAATCATCAGAAGCACTGGATCAAACAAGTTATAACTGCCCATGGTGAAATTTATCTGCCCAGTGATAACAGATGAAAATACACCTGTGTCTACAGAAATTTACCATCTTTGCTCTTGACATTAACTCTGAATCTTTTTTACTTGCTAGACATCACAGTTACTTGTGTATGCATGTGCTAGAGATACATACATGCTATCCCTTTAGTTTATTTGGAAATGATACAATTTATTCCCTTTCTATAAGGTTCTTCTTTGTTCTTAAAAATAAAATGTAAGATTCTTTTTTATAATCTTTAACGAAAAAATGTGAAGTTGTAATGTTTAATTCATGATAATACTCTCTCACTTCAACTCTTAACAGCTATCCTCTACATCTAATATATTCACATAGGGTGCTTTCTCTTGAGTCTATGTATTGTCTGTTCCTGTGACATAGAAGATACAAAGCACAGACTGTGGATTTTGGATGGTAGTGGTCTACCTTTATATGTTAGTCATTCACAATATCTATCAGCAAGCAGAGGGAGGAACTAACTAGGAAATGGTGCTACTGTGAAGTAAAATCAACCTTACCCATTATCCAAAAGCAGTTGAGATGCCATAGAGGTTGAAAATATAACTATTAGGAGTTAAAGTACATTCTATCCTAGGTCATGGATCACTGAAGTTCTCGGGTAGACTTGTCAGGCTTCCTCTAGACATCCTACATCTCTCCAAAGCTAAGCAGTGTGCCGGGCATTTGTAGTCAGCATCAGTGAGTTATTTCTTTAATGACCAGTTGGTCTCATGAACATCATTCACTCAAATTGTCTTAGTGTGTCTCTTTGGGAAGCAGTTTGAAAAGTCAAGCATTACAATAACTGGAAAAATACGAAAACAGTAACAACAGTGGTTTTTGAAAGAAAACAATAAAAATTTCCTCTTTGCAGTTTAAGATCACCACAAAGAGGTTTTCATACACTTGTGCATTCACACTAGTCTACATCCAAATAGCCAAAGTTAGCAGAATGAAGGCAGATTTTGTCAGAAATATCTCTCCTATTCCTATTTGATCAATTTACTTGAGCATGACAAAGATATTTTGTATGAATTTTCATTAAAAATATGCAACATATATGCACATATAAGTTATTTCCTTGGTGATGGCTTAGTTGTAGAAGAGTGCTATGAGCAGTCTTACTCAGTGCTACATACAGGAGAGAGCCAGAGCACAAGAGTAGAGGTGTTTGACTTCAGAGTCTCAAGGAGGCTCTGGGACTATGTGGTTCAGCCTCTGGTCTTCATCTAGCAGGAGACATGCTCAGAGTCGCCCCACGTTTTCTCCTCCCTTCCAGGTGTAGTATTTCCTCTCTTATCTCAACTGTATGTAGGAGGACACAATTTGTAGCTATGTTTGGTCTGCAGAGGTTTGGTTTATGTGTTTTCCTCAAATGTGCCATGTTCCAGTGCATTGTGGTTCTTAGTTGTTCTAAGATTTGGTTGTTTATTGCCTGAAGGAGAAATTGACTCAGCTCAGTGACCCTGTTTTATCATCAATATCTTATCTTACTCACCTTCTTGTTTCTCTAAACATCTCATCAACAGTGAATATCCTTTCTAGAGTGATACATAAAAGAGTTAGGGTTTATAAGACAAGTTTTTCAGTGTAAGTTATGTTTTTGTCTTTTATTACTGTGTGAGGGGATTTGGCACTCTGTAAGCATCTTTTCCAGGTGAAGTATTATTCCATGCAATGCAGAAACATTCCCTTCACTTTAGGAAGGGTTCACTTCTTCCCTGGAGCATTTATGCTGCACATTAGATGCATGCATCTGAGCATTACTGCACTGCACTATTGTTAATTAGTCTTGAGAAAAGGAACTGTGCCAAATGAACATGACTGTTTCAACTCTTAGTCCATGGTAGGTACTTGCATGTATATTATAAATTATTTATTGAAGCTTAATGAAAATATATATTAGCATTTAACAATCCTTGGAATTTTATAGAAATAAACCACTTAGAATGTAAGAAAATTGTAAAGGAACTGTGAATAAGGTACATTTATTTCATTCCATGTGAATATTCATTTCTTTATTCAAGTAGGTATCAGATATCCATTGACCATTTATAGTATAATAGATAATATGCTAATTTTATAAAACTAAGACCTGTAGAAAACAAACAAGCATCAGCATGCTTAAGAGAAATTGCATCCCACCATGTCTTGCAGATTTTAACTAATTATATTAGAGCATGACGTGAAGAGAAAGAAGACATAGAGAAAAGACATTTAGACATCCTGGAGTTGCATCTAGCTGATTTAAGTAATAGGAAGAAGGAGGACAGGTGGGCTTGAGGAAAGGTTTTGTGGTGGGAAGGGAGAAGGTGCAGCATTTCAGGAGGTGGATGAGATTTGTAAAGAAGAATGTTGTACAAGTAAAAATGACTGAGTAAACATTAGATCTGATCCTCAAGTTGAGAAAATCATTGGTACCATTGAAAGGAGGAATTTACTAGAAATTTAAGGATTTGTATAGGAAAGGAAGAGAACAATGAAGAGAGACATGGCATAAATACATTGTGATGATGGTCATAATATCTCTAAAAAGATGAAACAAGGTTCTTGAACACTGAAGAGAAAGGCTAGGGAAATGCTGAGAGGTAGAAGAGCAGCTGCAAACAGAGCAGATGAGCTGATGACAGACGAGGAAAGCTGTTTATGGACATTGGAGAAGAGACCATGGACAGATAACTTGTGTGTGTGTGTGTGTGTGTGTGTGTGTGTGTGTGTGTGTCCTACTGTCAGAATAAAGGAATGCAGAATAGTCCCATAGTCATGTGAGGAAAGCAGATGACTGGTTTCCAAGTCTAAAAAAATCAGAATGGAGAACAACTATTTGATTCCATTGGTGAGGATTCCATAATTGAAGTAGTTTGAATGGATGAGAATAAAAATCACGTGAAAAGAAAATTATTTTTTCCAATAGAACTGAAAGTCAATGTTTGAATAAAAATTAGGTATTATTAATGAAAATAACCAATATGGTTCTATGGTTGGTCATTTCTTGAGATGCTGTGCATCATGACACAATAAACAATTAGCTAGATGGGCAGTAAGGCAAGGTAACATGTCAAAATCACAGACAAAAGATACTGGTACTGCTTTACATTTGTTTGTTCTGTGTCTTACATGAGTAAGAGTGTTCAACGATCCCAAGAAGGGGCTGGAGAGATTGCTTGGGGATTAATAGCTTTTGCAGAAAACCTGGGTTCAGTCCCCAAGACCTACAATGTGTCTCACATCAACCCTAACTATAGTTCAATATAGATATTGAACACCTTTGGTTCTTCATGGACTTCTTCTGCATTCATGTGATATACATAAACATTCTGGTGCACACACATACACATAAAAATATTTCATTAATTAATGATAGCATTTTTAAGAGTCCAGTAAGGAGAACCTTCATACTCACTGAAAAAAGGAAAAACAATGAAAGGGAGGCAGGGTGAATTAACATTCCTTTTTTAAATTAAGAGGAAAATATATTGAATTTAAGAGCCAAAAGATTTATCTTTAATGATTTCATCCAAGTATAATTTTGTTAATGCACTTTTCAAACGAGACATCGCTGAATAACCTTTGTACTAAAGAAAACAATTAGATGAAGAAATTAAATTTTTTTAGACAAAATTTGATTTCCTAAATTAATAATTTTACTTTTAAGTATGGTGACTTTTTCTGATAGACCTAATAGTTTACATTTTAGTAGTATTTTACTAATACTCTTGAATTTGTGTGAATATACTTATATTTTTATTTATATATTATATAATATATATTCATATACTTATTTATATATTTATTGTATATCCTTTCTAATTACACCAAGATCCTTTCTTACCCCTACCCACACATCTTCATGTTCTTTCTTGTTTTTTTTTTGAAAATTCATTCAGTTCAATTTGTGTTACTCAAAAACTGTCATGTGTCCTGCTCCCAGACAATACTTGACCAACGGCAGGTCACTCTCTCAACAAAAACTGACTGTCCTTCTTTGAGAAGCTATCAAATTCCACTAGCACCTTTTCCATGCTGGGATTTTGTGTGGCTTGTACTTGCACTGATCTTACACATTCAGTAACCATTTACTTTGTATTTGTATGTGCATCTGCCCTTCTAAGTACCCCCAAAACACTGTTTTCTTTTAATTACACATCACTTCTGGATCTTAAAATCTTTCTAAACCTTCTTTTACTGTGGCATCTGAGCCTTGAGGACACATGGAATGACATAGACATCCCA